GTATCAGACCAAGTTGGTGCGCGTATCAAAATATCTTAGGGCGCTGTAAACGCTTGATTCGATTCGGGTCGTATTATACCCGGCATTCCTGCTAGATTGAGGTTAAAAGTATGGTTCAGTTTAGCATGTGGTAGAAGTTGGATTTTACAATTGTGAAAATGTCGTGTAAAAAGGGTGCCAATTGGACCAACGATGAAACACGAACGTTTCTCGAATTGATTACGGAAAAGAGCATTTTAAATATAATTGATGGAAAGAAACATCGGCATATAGAGATTTTCCGAATGCTAGTACCCGAAATGCAGACAAAGGGTTATGAAAAAACAGCTGAGCAAATGAAATTAAAATTAAAAAATTTGAGAACAGCATATTTCAAATGTAAAAGAAATAATAATGTCAGTGGTGCTGCTCCGTCAACGTGTCCATTCTACAACGAGTTAGATATGTTATATGGGAGCAGGCCAAGTGCCCTAGCTAGCAGCAGCAACAGTGATCAAGTAGGAATTGATACCGCAGAATTAAATGTGGAAGAAAGTAATTTACATTTGATTATTGCAATTATATGTAGTTAGTAGCTATAAAATATACATTTAAAATTTAAACCATCAATTATTTGATTTATATGACAGTATTATTCATTTGATTTTAGTTAACGATGAGAATGATACCAGTTGTACGACTGCTGAAGAGATTGACGAGATATTAGATAAAGAAAATGAAGTCCCACCAGCCAAAAAGCAGAAACGAACAAAAACTTGTGGTATTGATAAAAAAACTATTTAGTATTATAATCTTATTAAATATTTCTAGTTTGAGAGATGACGTCACGATTTACACGCTCTAATGTTATTAATCCGTATTTGAAGATTTCTAAGAATAACCAACGAGCTAATATATATATATACATAATTATTAATTTACATATGTAGGAATTATAATATACAAATTTTACATTTAGGGAGAAGAAGTTATGAAGCAATGATGCAGAGCCATACTGACAAATTGTTCGAATACCAAAAAGAATTACTTAACAGCATCACAAACAAGCAGATGGAGTTCCAGAAAGAAATTTTCCATAACGAAATGATAGAGCAGAGAAAATGGGAACAAGAAGAGTTAGCCAAGGAACGAGAGTTTCAAAAAGAACAAACAAACCTGATTCTGGATGCATTTACCAAAAGTATGCAGGTTATTAAACCTCAAATATCTGCTCGTTCCACACAGAGTTCCTTGAAGCCACTGAAACTTATTCCTGTAAGTTTATTAATTTTTTAAATAATTAATCGTGTAACAACATTAAAACTAATACATGCAATAAGATATATGTACATATATTTGTACATATTGTGATATATTTATAAATTTAATGTAAGGGATTTGATTTTATTAGTCTGAAAAAGTTAAATAGTGATTTAGTTTGATTATAAATATTTTATTTGCTATAATATTAAATATTTATTATTATAAATATGTTATTAATTACATTAATAATTAAATTTATAATAAAAATAAATTACTGTTTGAGTACTTACCATTTAGTATATATATTCTCATTTGATAATGTATATAGTAAAATAAATAAATATATTCTGATTTATTTTCATTTTACATACTTGTTCAACAAAAGTTTT